TTATATATATATATATATTATATATAATATATATATATATATATATATATTATACGTCTATGCTGTGTGTGCTCTTTTAAGGAATTGTGTAGACATTCATATTCTTATACGTATCCGGCTTCCTGTTGGTACATATATCTGTGCATAGGCGCTTATTCATATTTCAATATTCGTTCACACGTATAACGGTCTAATAATGCCAAAAATTATTGCTATAATGCGACCAATTCGTTATACTTAGGTACGATCAAGGAGTTGCAACGGCGGTGCAGAATCAGTCATCAACGACCACAGCACGACAAAACATTAACAAAGGTAGTAGCCGGACCAACGGTAACCTAGGCAACCGGAGCACTGGTAACTATGGTAACGGCGGTGGACGCGGTAGAGGGCCCGGTTTTGGTAACCGGGGCAACGCTTCTCCTTTGGTGAATCCGGCGAACACACAACTGGCTACACGCCTTGCACAGGAACTGACGGATCAGAGCTACGAGTGTACCGTGTGCTACGATACAGTAGGACGCAAAGCAAAGGTAGGTGTGGTTTGGATTATATGTGTATATGTATTTGTGTATGTGTATATGCCTATCTGTGTGTATATGTGTGTATATGTGTGTATGTGTATGTGTGTATATTTGTATATGTGTATGTTTTATATGTTTGTAGATGTATCGCATGCTTTTGTGTGTGTTTATGTGTATTTGTATATGTATATGTGTACATGTATATAATTGTTTGTGTATGTGTGTATATATATTCTGCGGACTTTGCCTGACTTTCGCTGCATAGTCCGGTGCACTCAGAATAACCAATCCCTCACCACACCCACAGGTGTACAGTTGTGAGACGTGCTACATGGTGTTCCATCTATCCTGCATCTCCCAGTGGGCCAAGGCGAACGCTAAGAACAACAGCGCCAGGTATGTGGGGTTGGTGTATAGAGGACGTCAACGTTTGTGGTTCAGGGCTTAGTACCGAGGCTAAGACTATCCAACTCGTATATAGTAAGGTGCCGCATTCGTGTACTGTGACGCGGCCGGGGTTTTCCATGTGCCTCGTTTCTGTCACCTGGAATATTCCATTGAAGTTAGAACATAATGTTTAGAGGTGTTATCACTCTGTAGATGAATCTATAGTTATATATATATATATGCTAAATAATAAAGCTAAGTCGGTTCTCAGTAATAGATAAATTTGAGTGTCAGTTTGAATGTGACATATGCAGTGTTGCAGTGTATGTGTCCCATTATTGTGTATGCAGATCTGTTATAATACTTTTCGCTAAATTATTATTAATATGCATATTTATATGTATATGGATGTGTGCATCTGTGTCATTGTGCGTGTAATTGCATATGCATATTCTGCATATGTATAGGTATATGTATATGTATGTGTATATGTATTTATATATATGTATATATTTATATGTATTTATATATATTTATATATTTATATTTGTATGTGCTCATAAATATATTCTTATACATATATATATATATACATATATATATATACATATATATATATATATATATATATACATATATATATCTATATCTATATCTATATCTACTTACCTTTATT